CCTTTACCCTCTTCTTGGGATTTTGAGCACGCGCATGCACCCAGTATAATTTTCAAACCGCACAGTCAGTCACGTGGGATCCAGGACCTTAATCTCCATGCCATCTGCTGGTCACTATCAACCATTTTTGGTAGCAGTGACTGCCCAGGTCAGAGGTCCATGAGTCTTTGGGCTGTTCATATGACAATGATGACACTGATGGCACTCACTGAGTGGGCCCCCTGTGCTAGGTATTATTCCAAGGCTCTGGATACATTAATTCATTGAGGCTGCACAGTAGCCCAGCAAAGGCAGGCAGGTACCACTGTTCCCCACGCCCTACAGATGGAGAAATGGAGGCAAAGACTTAAGCCTCAGTAACTTGCCAAAACTCACTGTCAGGGAGTAGCTGAACCAAGAAACCAAGTGGAAATCAGTTTACCAGACTGCAGGCTCGTGTGTTCATTGTGACAGTGTCGGTATTCTAGGTCCTCGGAAAATAGCCTACCTTACCCCAACAGTCTCAGGTGTCCTCATGCGGAAGGCAGAGCTGAGCTGGAGCAGCCAGTTAACAGTGATATTCTCGTGAATCCTGAGAAAACGCGAGTGTGGACTTACTGGCAAAGATGGGCATTTCGGTCTTGAAGGAGGACTCTCTCAGGCAAGAGCCGGCACCCTCCATTCTAACCAGAGGCCCCTGACGTTAGTGAAATGAACAGGAAGGTTCTCAGCTTAGGTTTCCTCTTCTATCAAGTGGGGTCACAAGAACTGCAAGTAGAAAAGCCTCCTCAGCTCTGAAGATGAGTCAAATAACTGAGTTTTTGATGCCAGGTAATGATTTAGGCCAAAAGGACCAGCTGCACTTAAGGCTCCAGGTGCAGAGGGCAGGGGCCGTGCTGGTTTCTACGATGAAGAGCTGGGCCTGCGTCAGGCCATCATCCAGGTGGGCACTGCCAGGCGAAGAGCAGGCAGGTGCTCATGGCCAAGCAGGCCCTTCCTGCTTCATGAGCCAGGATGCCAGGAAGAAGCCAGCGTTCTGGATTTCTGAATTCTGCGATGTCTCTCAGGAGAAAATAACTCTGAGGAGCAGCACTATGGGTGAGGAAACCCTCCCACCTCCTCTCACACTGCTGAGTCACCACGTCACAACTACCCCTGACTCCTGGTAAGCCTTGCTGGTGGCACCAGTCCTCTGCACCCAGCACAAGTCCACAGCCTTCTCCAGGCCTAGTTCTTTCTGCCTGAGGAAGGGTTACCAGCAGCTCAGACTCCTAGGATGGCAGGAGGTCAGTGGAAGGAAAGCCCAAGGGACCCTGAGGCCCTGCATGTCATCCCAGAGAACTCCAAGGATCTCCTGTCTTGTACTGCAGACAGGCTGCCTGGCAGCAGCGAGAAAAGAATGGCCCCATTTTCCACTTAACTCCATGTCTAACACTGGAACAACAGGCTCATGATACCTGTTGGCAAGGAAAAGAAAAGTACCCCTTAGATGATGATGATCATGATTATTTAGAATTTTGCATAAGGCACATGTGCTTGCCAGAGAGAGGAAGGGAGAGGGAAAGTGAGAAATTATCTCTCCGGGGGGATGACCATGCTGCAACCCCTTCTCCTCATCCTCCCCTTGGGATTCTGGGCACACATACACATGTGCCTAGCATGTTTTTCAAGCCTCTGCATCTGGGACTTGAAGCACGGAGTGGACCACCATGCCACTTGCTGGCCCAGTTTTTCTGTTTTTGTTTTGTTACACAGAAAACATAGGGCATTTCTCGATTCTGTGTTATAGGAAATTTTCTAAAGAGAAACTTTTGCTGCCTTTCCCTTAGTGAGACCGAAGTCTGCGTCAACATGGCATCTAGCATGGTGCGTATTTGAGGTAGTCGAGGGGACTAGAGTGAAGGTGGGGCCTGTCTGCTCAGGCCAGTTCTATTTACCATCAGTGCTGGGTCTTAAAGACACACTGGTATTGTTCGGAGTGAGGCCTTTGCTAACTCATTGCATCCGCCAGACAACGCTGCACAGTGGATACCATTATTTTTCTGTCATAGACAGGAAAACAAATCGAGTTATTTGTGAAGGATGACACCAGTAGAGATGAAGCTAGACAAAATGCCGGCTGGTAGGACAGAACCCACAAGCACTCCTTCCTGTGCTCACATGCATGCATGTCTCCTGTCTCCTGTCAAAGTAAGCGTCTATCAGAAAGGCCTAGGAATGAACTATAAAAAGAAAATCAGGGGACCAGCAGATGGCATAATGGCTACATCGCTGGACTCCCATGTAGTCAATCGTGGTTTGAGTCCCGGACACAGTGTCTTAAACTCATGCCAGGGGCACGTGCATGCATGTCCAAGATCCCAAGAGGACAATGGAGGAGAAGGGATTGTGGCATGGCCAACTCCCATTCATGGTGATTTCTCTCTTTCTGTCTCTCTGTCTCTCTCTTTCAGGAGAGCACATGTGCCCTATAGCAAAAAGCTCTCCAAAAAAGAGACCAAAAAAAAAAAATCAAACTAACATATTTTGAGCATCTATCTGAGTCAGACACTGGGCCAAGCACTTCTGTGTGGAGTTAAAACTCTCAGCCATGGCAAAGTGACTTCTATAATGTCTCTTCTAGCGTTTAAGATCTTTCTGGAGGGCCAGCAGGTGGCGTGGGTAAAGGCGCCGGACTCCTGTATGGCTGAACACACTTCAAGTTCCAAGTTCCAGACCGTGTGGCCTGAAAATCATGCTGGGCATGTGTGAGTGCATGCCCCAAATCCCAGGAGGCGAATGAAAGAGAAGGGATTGTGGCATGGTCATCCTCCCTGGGGGCTTCTCATTTTCCCTCTCACCATCTCTCTTTGTCTGGCAAACACATGTGCCCTATGGCAAAGACCTTAAGAAAAAAAGAAAAGAAAAGAAAGAACAGAACAGAACAGAACAGAAAAAGAGAAAAAGACCTTTCTGAGATTCAGCTCAAACATCATGGAGTCTTCAAGGCCAAAACTCAGGGCCATGTTCCTCGCTTATCCTGACTTGCGTTTTTTAGCCTTTGGCTCAGTCGCAGTGGGGTGCACTGTAGTGTGCTAATCTGTACTGTTCAAAGCCACATGGCTGACCATGGGTCCAGATCCCAAGTAGACCTGAAATACACCAGGGGTGTGCGCTCAAGATGAGCTGGGAGCCTGGGCAAGGCGACCTGAGAGTGACCAGCTTCTGCCGTAGATGTCTCTCTTCCTCCTCTCATGCACACGTTCTGTCTCCTGCTCTTTCTCAGAAAGAAATAAACTAAGGAAAAATGTGTTTGCATCTTTTAAGACTATTATCTGATCCTATCACAAACTCATCAACACTTCTGCCTCTACTGTTCCTGTGACTCATGGAAAACAAAAAATAATGACTTCAGAGGCCAAAAGAGACAAAAAAGTTACAAGACAGGCTGTGAAAGACTAACACTGTTTAGCACAGAGACACGCAACTCAGACAGCTTAGCTCCTCAGCCAAGCCAATGCCCAGGCTCTCTGGTTATCCCTGGTAGACCCCTCTTCTCCCAAACAATGCCCAAGCTGGCGGAATGTACAAACTAGTGCTCAATAAATGTGTCTTCCACCTATGGAGAGTCAAAGCAGAAAATAAGGGATTCTTCCTGAGTCTAATCCCTTTCTCTTAGATCCAAAAATAAGTAAACTCCAAACTGGAAGGTGGAAAAAAAAAAGAAATTCTAACACCATTACTAGCTTTCAGTGACTAAAATCATTGCTGTGCAGTAAGTGAGCTACACATGTATTTTCTTTTCTCTACTATTTCTTCTTTTATTTTATAATTTTTTATTTACATTGAATTGTTACACATATTTGTGGGGTACAATGTTTTTCAAGTGTGCATGTAGTGTGTGATCATCCAACCAAGAATATTACCACAGTCATTGTCTTCAAGAAAGAACATTACATTATCTAGTGCACCTGCGATTTCCATTTTACTGGATTTTTTTTTTTTGAGATACACACACATAAAGTCCCTTCCCCTTTTATTTTTACTCTGTTGTGGTATACCATTCTATAACCTGTTTGCCTTGTTTACATGCATTATTTCGACTGAAATTTTTAAGAGATTTTTGCTATAGGGTATGCGCACTTGTCAGGGAGACAGAAAGAAAGACAGAAAATGAGAAATCACCAACCACAGGGGATGGCCATGCCACAATTCCTTCTTCTCCATTTTCCTCTCAGGATCTTGGGCACATACGCACACATGCCTGGTGTGAGTTTTATTAAGCCTTCAGGTCCAGGACTCAAACTGTGATTGACTATGTGGGAGTTCAGCAACGTAACCATTACCATCTGCTGCCCTGTTAAATGATTTTTTTTTCCTGAGTCCTTTCCCTAACCCCTCACATTCCATAGTCTCTGGTATCTACATTGCCCCCTCTACTTCTGTCTTTGAATCTTTTGACTTCTGCCATAAAGTACAGTCATTCAGTATATGTTAAGTGGGGACATACCATGTTCGTCTTTCAGTTGGGCTTATTTCGCTTAGCATTAAATCTTCTAGATTCATCTGCTTTGTATTGAATGATAGGATTTCACTGTTCTTTATGATTGAGTGATGAAACATCATATTCATATAGTACTCCAGTATACATGTGCCACGTTTTCTTAATCCAATCATCGGTTTTTGGGCACACAGACTGGTTGTAGGTCTTAGCTACTGTGTTGAAGGCTGTGATAAACATGGATGTGCAAGTGTCTTTCTAAGTGATTTCCTCTGCTTTGGGTAAATCCCCAGGAGTGAGATTACTGGGTCATATGGAAGGTAGTTCTATCTGTAGGTCTTTGAGGAACCTCCCTATTGTTAGCCACAGTAGCTGTACTACTCTACTTTCCCATCAGCAGCACAGGAGGGTTCCCTTTTTTACTACAACCTTGCTAGCACTTGTTCTTTATCTTTTTAGACCTTCTAAGTGGGGTTAGGTGATACTCCATTGTGGTTTTCATTTGCATTTCCTTTCGGACAAGTGATGTTGAAAGTTTTTCGAAAATAGGGAATGCTTCACAAATTTGCATCCCACTCTTATGCAGGGACCATGCTCACTTCTCTGTCTATTCCGATTTTATTATAGGTGCTGCTGAAGAGAGCACTACACAGGCACTTTCGATATTTCAAGTAGCCACACTAAAAGAAGCAGGTGAACTGAACTTTAATAATATCCTTTATTTAGCCTGATAGATCTGAAACATAATCTGAACATGCAATCCATTTCGAAATTATTAGTGAGCTAGTTCACATTCTTTTCAAATACAATCTTCATTTAATATAGAATTAAAATGTACATTTTACACTGACAGCACACATCCATTCGGACTAGCCTCATCCCACCTGCTCAGTAGCCATATGGGGCTGCGACAGCCCTGGCCAGCATGGACCAATGTCATCTTCTCTGCTACCGTCTCTAAAGCACAGCCATCTTTCACCGATCTTCACTATACGCAACCAGAAATCGTGAACGCAATGAACAGTGGGTTATTACTTTGCCTCCAACTGCTTTCAATTTCTGAATATATCTGATGTATTTTCTGATTTAGTCTTCAACATAAAGCTACAGAAGAAGTCCCTATACATTTTAGATGAGCAACAGACTGGTATAATACCATCTCTCTTTCATAAACACACACACACACACGCTTACCTGCTAGATGGTCTCAGTTTATGAGTAGCCAAGGATTAGGACTTAACCCAAGTCACACAACAATATACAGCCCAAGTGCAAGAAAGTGGCCGAATTCTGGCTTGCCTCACTGCAGCTCGGCCCGACACCACCATCCGGAGTCATTCTTTGCAGTAATTCGCACATCTCCTTTTAGAGGGATGCTCAACAGCATCAGACTCTCTTGGCCCTTAAACCGACTTGGCAGAAGTCAAAGCCACCTTAGCCATCTGCAGGAGCTAGGTCAGTCAGGGCCCAACCTGATCCCTAAACACTCTCCCTGCTTGCTTGCATTTCCCTCACCTTCTGGAAGCCCTGTGTGATCTCAAGACCACGCAGTCCCTGCCTTCGGGTTGCTAACCAGCTCGTAAGAGATAAGACATCTTGGGGCCAGCACGTGGCATGGTGGATAAGGGCGCTGGACTCCCACGTGGCCGACCACGGTTCGAGTCTCGGACCTGGTGGCTTGCTTTCTCACTTTCTCTCTCTCTCTCTCTCTCTGTGTGTGCCTTTCTGGCCAAATTAAAAAATAAAATGAATGAATAAATAAAAGTAAATAAATAATTTAAAAAAGAGATAAGACATCTAAATAAATAAAGTAAATACGTATGCAAAAATAATCTGGGATGACAGGGAAGCAATACTTTCTGATGGTATTAGAAAAGCCTTCATACAACCATTTATAGTATTTACGAAGATGAAGGCAAGATAGAGGCCCAAGCCAGGCAGCGGTCACAGTGCACTGGAAGGCCTGGAGCACAGAAGGTGGGGTGCGAGGTCACCAAGGTGAGTCGTGCAGCCTGACAGAAGAAGGAACAGAGCGTGAAGGCAGCAGAGGTGGGTATGAGCCATCCCCACACATCTGGAGAGTCGCCCAAGGATTTAGGATTTTATTGGCCAAGAACTCGGCACAAACAGAACGTTCTAGATCAGAAGAATCAACACCAACAGAGCAGTACTTTAAAAAAAAAAAAAAAAAAACCTGACAGGCCAGCCAGGGTAGCGCGCATGCCGGGAGAGGCTGTTAGCATTTCTGGATGAGTCACTCACTGAGATGGGGGAATCCAGGCACTGTGGGGAAAGACAATGAACTCAGTGTGAAATAAGCTGAGTTTTAGGTGAGTATGTTTTCTCAGATGGAGTTACCTAGTAGGTAACTGAAATTCTGGTCTGGAAGGCAGAAGAGCGTTGGGAGTAAAGTTCTAAGTTTGATCTCAGCTTGGTCATCATTTTCTCAGGGAGTGGTTCCCTAATTTCCACAGGAGCTCAGATGGCTCCATTCTGCCTTGTTACCGCACCACGCACCTCCCTGCCCACATGCACTTCCCAGCATTGTAACTGTGCACTGGTTTCTATGATTCTCTGGTTAACGTTAATGCCGCCTTCCCCAACTAGAAGGTCCTGGAGGGCAAAACTGTGTCTGTTTCTGAGCCTCTTCACCAAAAGGACACCTACTCCACAGCAGGGATCCGCAGTGTATTGTTGAGTGGATGGCTGGAGGAAGGAAAGAAGACTTTCGGAATGTGCTAGTTGAAGCTATTGTGGGTTGGCATGAAGTTGCCCTGGAAATGTATGTAAAAGAATAAAAGTGGGGACCAGCAGTTGGCATAATGGCTGTGTCACTGGACTCCCACGTAGTCGACCATGGTTTAAGTCCTGGACCCAGCAGCTTAAACTCACGCCGGGCGCGTGTGCATGTGTGCCCAAGATCCCGAGAGGAGAATGGAGAAGGGATTGCAGCATGGCCATCCCCTGGGGGGTGATTTCTCGCTTCCTGTCTCTCTGTCTCTCTCTGTCTTCCTAGTGAGCGCACGTGCCCTATAGCAAAAAACCCTCTCCAAAAAAAGTGAATAGTGAGTTCTAAGGAACCCCAATACTTAAACTATGTGATGGAGAAAGATGGTGAAGAAAAATGAAAAGTGCAGGCTCTCTTATGCCAGGAGGTGGCACAAAGGTTAAGGCAGCTGCATCCCATATGGCCAACTGAGTGGTTCAAGTCCCAGACCTAGCGGCTTGAGAATCATGCTGGGGGTATGTGTGTGTGTGGTGCCCAAAATCTCGAGAGAAGAAGGGATTGCAGTGTGGCCATTCTCCATGGGGGGTGATTTCTCACTTTCTCTCTCTGCCTCCTCTGTCTGGCTGCTGAGTATGCACCCTACAGCAAACAATAAAAAAAAGTGCAGGGTCTTGAAGGGGCATGAGAAGGGTCTTGAAGGGGCAAGCACGGTGTCTGTTGGAGCAAAGAGGGAGGGTTCATATGTGGTCCAAACTGTTGGAAGAAGGAGAATAACAGGCCTTGCTGTGGGGAGAGCTGGACACAGACTTGTACTCCCTGCCCTCCCTAACGCCAAGCACAGGGGTGCATGTCTGGTCTCAGCTACTCAGGAGGCTGAGGCAGGTTACAGTGTGATAAGACCCTGTCTGCAAAACAAATAAGCCAACAATGATTTGACAGTGGTGCAAAATACACAGAATTCTAAACTAAGCAAAGAAGCACACACACAACCAAGGGGCATAACAGGAGATCAGTTTCAAGCACACTGCGGTCCTTGGGGCGATGGGCGGTAACACGAAAGGATGGCAGGGGCAGGGAGAGTGACACCAGGGAAGGCTGAGAGTCACAGGATCTGGGAACAGCTGCCGAGAGCAAAGGTGACTCAGGTTTACAGCCGCCATGACGGAACCTTGTAAACGGAAAACGCGCAGGAGAGTCAATACAGCTGCGAGAGTTCCTCCCCCTTGGGGAAGTCTGCAGAAGAGACAATGATCTTGGGGTGTGTGGGTTAATTTCCCCAGTAAGACCTGAATCTGTTCTAGGCACCTACTTCAATAGGAAAGAAGACTTTCGGAATGTGCTAGTTGAAGCTATTGTGGGTTGGCATGAAGTTGCCCTGGAAATGTATGTAAAAGAATAAAAGTGGGGACCAGCAGTTGGCATAATGGCTGTGTCACTGGACTCCCACGTAGTCGACCATGGTTTAAGTCCTGGACCCAGCAGCTTAAACTCACGCCGGGCGCGTGTGCATGTGTGCCCAAGATCCCGAGAGGAGAATGGAGAAGGGATTGCAGCATGGCCATCCCCTGGGGGGTGATTTCTCGCTTCCTGTCTCTCTGTCTCTCTCTGTCTTCCTAGTGAGCGCACGTGCCCTATAGCAAAAAACCCTCTCCAAAAAAAGTGAATAGTGAGTTCTAAGGAACCCCAATACTTAAACTATGTGATGGAGAAAGATGGTGAAGAAAAATGAAAAGTGCAGGCTCTCTTATGCCAGGAGGTGGCACAAAGGTTAAGGCAGCTGCATCCCATATGGCCAACTGAGTGGTTCAAGTCCCAGACCTAGCGGCTTGAGAATCATGCTGGGGGTATGTGTGTGTGTGGTGCCCAAAATCTCGAGAGAAGAAGGGATTGCAGTGTGGCCATTCTCCATGGGGGGTGATTTCTCACTTTCTCTCTCTGCCTCCTCTGTCTGGCTGCTGAGTATGCACCCTACAGCAAACAATAAAAAAAAGTGCAGGGTCTTGAAGGGGCATGAGAAGGGTCTTGAAGGGGCAAGCACGGTGTCTGTTGGAGCAAAGAGGGAGGGTTCATATGTGGTCCAAACTGTTGGAAGAAGGAGAATAACAGGCCTTGCTGTGGGGAGAGCTGGACACAGACTTGTACTCCCTGCCCTCCCTAACGCCAAGCACAGGGGTGCATGTCTGGTCTCAGCTACTCAGGAGGCTGAGGCAGGTTACAGTGTGATAAGACCCTGTCTGCAAAACAAATAAGCCAACAATGATTTGACAGTGGTGCAAAATACACAGAATTCTAAACTAAGCAAAGAAGCACACACACAACCAAGGGGCATAACAGGAGATCAGTTTCAAGCACACTGCGGTCCTTGGGGCGATGGGCGGTAACACGAAAGGATGGCAGGGGCAGGGAGAGTGACACCAGGGAAGGCTGAGAGTCACAGGATCTGGGAACAGCTGCCGAGAGCAAAGGTGACTCAGGTTTACAGCCGCCATGACGGAACCTTGTAAACGGAAAACGCGCAGGAGAGTCAATACAGCTGCGAGAGTTCCTCCCCCTTGGGGAAGTCTGCAGAAGAGACAATGATCTTGGGGTGTGTGGGTTAATTTCCCCAGTAAGACCTGAATCTGTTCTAGGCACCTACTTCAATAGTCGGCCTTCCTTAGGACTTTACTAGTGCATGCTAACTTGAACCTGCTGGGCACTTACTCTTTGAAAGCTGGTCTTGGCAACCTGTTCAGCTCTCTGAATAATCTCAGCAGATCTGCTGACCACGACTCACGTTTGTCCTGTCACTCAAGGAAGATGAATTCCAGTCTGGGGGTCGAGCCTTCTGGACTGGATTTGACTTGTGAAAGGGCCACGGTATGGAAAGCAGAACTAATGAACTTAATTGATTTATTTCTTCCATTCTCACTTCCCCT